TGTAGAGGTTCGGTCGTAAAAGTATTCGGCGGTGAAGCGCCGCGTCATCCACTCCCGCCACTCCAGCGCCAGCTTGGATTGGTAGTAGTCGCTGGGGGGGGGAGCGGTGCGGGGGCACGCGGGCGTGTGAGTGCACGCCAACCCGAGAGAGCAGCGGGGACCGGCGGCGGGCATCCCGTAGCTCAGCGGCATCAGGTGCCGGCCTCCCTAATCTAACACCCACCGTCCACACACAAACCATACCCATACAGGCCCACACCCCCACTTGCAGCGCCCGCGGCTCACCGCATCACGTAGACGGGTATGCCCAGGCAGATGGCGGCCAGCCACTTGATCAGCATCTCGCTGAACTTCTCCTGGTCCTTGGCGGACAGCGCGTTGAAGAAGTCGCGGCCCAGAAAGTTGAACAGCACGCTGCGGGGGGGCGGGGAGGCGTGGCGTGGCGGAGGGAGGGGCGGCAGTGCACAAGATGCCAGCAGCAGGGCATGGGGGGGAGGAGACACCGGAGCTGCATTGCGGGTCAGAAGCCGCACCTGACGCCCGTGGTCCCCAGCGTGAGTGCCACCACGCCCGCCAGCTTCCACCGCGCGCTGTTGCGGTCATCCGACTCTGTCCAGTATGGCAGCGCCAGCTGCACGGCGGGAGCAGAGTGGAGGGGGTCCAGCAGCAGCGGCAAACACACGCGCTCGCAGAAGCGGCAGCAGGGCGGTGCGCGACGGCAGCGGTGGATGAAGGAGCAGCCCACCTTTCGCAGGCGTGGCAGGATGACGGCCAGATCGGTGCTGGCGCCCTCCTGCTTGCGAGAGAGCACGGTGGTGGAGGCGGGCGCCCGAGGCGCCGCCTCTGTCAGCGTCGCCCCGTCCCGCTGCTCGCTGCGAGCTGCCAGGCGGCGCCGTGGCCTGCCCAGACGCTGACATTGCCGCGATCTGGTGCTAGGGGCCGCTCCTGGCCGGATGCAAGGGCCGGTGAGTGGGCGAGCAAGCCCGACGCCCAGCTGTGCCAATGGCTGGCTGACCATCGGCAACAACTGATCCAGGGTGTGGATGCGGTGGGTGATTCTGCAATCGGCCAGAGCCCTGCGGTCTCCTGGCGATCAGGGGAGCCCAAACCGGCGGTGGTTCCCAGGAGACCCGAGGAATGATGAGGGATGTCGATGGACTTCGCGAATTCGGCATTTGCATGATAAATTGGGTGATTGTGCCTGTCCTGCGGTGCCTGCTGAGCCGAGCTGGCTGAGTTGCCAAAACGAAGACGCTCTGATAGGCTCCTGCATCATTACAGTATTCAGCGATCGCCATGGAGGACAAGCTACCGCCCATTCATCCTGGGAGCGAGCGGTAGGCTGCTGTTGATGGGAGGCCGTGCCGTGCAGGCCTCCACCCTCGCTGGAAGCATTTCGCCCTGATGGTCCGTGACCGTGCTGTGTAAAGTGCAGGCGTGGAGACTACAAGAACACTGGAGTGCAGAACCCGGCCGACGCAGCTGACAGGCGCCGCAAGGAGGCAAGCCGCAGGCTCTGCTGGACCGCAACCTGCTCCTCAGCAGGGTTCCTCGGTGTCGAGCTAGCGCCGACACCGCTCCAGTTACCTACCCAAGCCGCCGGCGCACTGGGTTGCCTCCCGCTGCACTGTCCCGCATTACTCCTCATCCAATGGGCCCTATCCTCTGCTGCTTTCCTCCTTCTCTGCCCGCGCAGACAGTGGCCTTCTCCACGCAGCGCAAAGAGTCCGCGCTGCGCTCCAAGCGGCTGAAGCGGGATGCCTCTCTGGGCAGCCTGGGCGGGATCAGCCGTGAGCCGTCACGTGCCAGCCTAGGTGTGCATATGGGTGGCATGCGCTCGCCTGCAGCAGGCAGCTGCTTATGCCAGGCCGCCCAATGCACATGCCATGTCCCCACACCCAGCTGCATACGCCTGCTCAGCCGTCGTTCCTGCTTGGCTCCTCTGGGGCTCCCTCGCCCACAGGCGAGGCGGTCAGCGAGGGCGGCGCCGAGGCAGCCAGCACACCCATCCCACCTGAAGACATTGCGGCAGAGGTGCAGGCGGCGGTGGATGCGGTGAAGGGCGCCAAGCCAGTGGGCTCAGACCTGTGCCTCGACGCCGTGCGGCGCTTGCGCCAACTACTTTCCAATTATGACGAGCCGCCATTCAAGGAGGCAGTGCAAGGTGGGTGGCGCTGGTACTGCTTCTGCTGCTGCTGCGCCTTTGCACAGTCCCCAGGCAGCTGCTACCTGCAGGGTGCAGCTGCAGCAGCAGCCCATGGGTAGCATGATTTGGAGGGTTGTGAGCCAGGCAGGCCAGCATCGTATGCTGCATGCCTCTGTGCGCGCTGCCGAGGGCCCATTCTCGGCTGTGTGCGCCTGCGCCCCGTCGCTCTCCACCAACCCGCCGCCCCCTCGGCGGTGCAGCCAGCGCAGCAGCTGGGGCGCGATCTGTGAGATCCGCCACCACCGCTGCCACTGCTGCCACCGCGCCCTGCCCCCTGCAGCCGGCGCCGTGCCTGTGCTGGTGGCGGCGCTGCAGCCGCCCCGCATGGACTCCACAGCCATGGAGACCATCTTTGAGGCCGCCTGGGCCATCACAAACCTGGCCGTGGTGGGTTGCCCGCTGCGGGAGTGCCGATGCAGGGGCTGCCGCTGTCTCTGCTGCTGCCTCTCATCCAGGCTGCTGCCACCGCTGCTGGGCGAGCCGTGCGGCTGCCCGCAGTTGCTGACATTTGCACGCACGCATGCACTTTCGCACGTCCCCTCCCGCCAGGGCGAGTTTGAGACGGTGAAGGCGGTGCTGGCAGCAGCCCCCATCCTCATCGCCTACCTCGGAGGCGGCAGCGGCCTGCCAGTGGCGGAGCAGTGCGCCTGGGCGCTAGGTGCGGCCCTGTGTATTGGTCTTGTGCTGCCCCATGCCCCCAGCCGGACCCTCTGCCTCCTCCTGCTGACACTGGCTGCTGCCGGCGCCGGCCTCTCCACCCATGCAGGCAACATTGCGGCCGAGGACTTTGAGTTCCGCCAGACCCTGATCGCCAACGGCGTGGTGCGGCCGCTGGCGCAGCTGCTGGTGGGCGCACGCAGGGCTTTGGACTCGGGGACAGGTGTGCCTCTGGCAGGCAGATGGAGGGGAGTGGGGTAGGGGGCGGGCTTTCAGCCTGACCCGGGGCCCAGGATGTGGGGCGCGGTGTGGTTTGCCAAAGTGCTTACAGTGCATGTTTGAAGCAGCCGCGGAGCGCTTGGATCTGCTGTTTGCCTCTTCATGCCTGCATCCCAGCCTCGCCCCTCCCCTCTCCCCTGTGCAGCCGACAATGACGACCCTGCGCTCGCGGCTGGCACCACCGCCGCCTGGGCGCTGAGCAATGTGCTGAAGGGCGCGGGGCGGGAGGTGGGGGAGGTGGTGGGCGTGGAGGGCGCGGCCGAGGCGATTGTGCGGCTGGTGGCGGCGGCGCCAGACCACCTGGCGACCGAGGCGGCCTGGGTGCTGGCGTACATCACAGGCGAGGGGCGAGGCTGAGCTGCAACGGGGGCAGGGTTGGCCAGGAGGCTGCCGCTCATCGTGCCAGGGGGAGCAGCGGGTCACGCTGGGCCTGCTGCCTGCTGCCCCTCTTTCTCCTCGCTGGTAGCCTGCTCCGCCATCCCGATCCCAATGATCCCGACTCCCTGTTGCCCGCGCTCCCTGCGCCGTGCAGCCTCTCACGAGGCCCACCTGAACCGCATGGTGTCCCTGGGGGTGGTGCCCCCCATGCTGGCACGCATGACCAGCGCCGTGGACCAGGTGGGGAGGGAGCCTCTGCCTGCGGGGGCCTGTGTGCAGCCTGGCAGCAGGCGTGCTGGGTTGATTGTTGCATGGGCAGGCATGCACAGCGAAACACTCGTGGCAGGCTGGCGCAGGAGGGGAAGCATGGAGCCTGCGCGGCGCATTCACGTGCCTCCATTGTGCGTATGTGTGCTGCCCCGACTCCTCGTGAGGTGCAGATGCTTCAGGACGAGCAGGTCGGACGCGCGCTGCTCATCCCGCTGATGCGCTCGCTGGGCAATATCGCGGCGGGCGGCGGCGCGGCGGCCATGGAGCAGCTGCTCAGCCCCGACGCCTCCCCCGCTCTGCAGGCGTTGGTGACGTGTGCTGGGGTGCGTGCGCCAGCCCAGCAAGCGGCTGGCCGCCTCGCTGCTTGCTTTTCCGGGCTGCGGGGCTTGCCCATGTTGCATTTGCCGTTCCAGGACACCCTAGCCACAGATGCCAGAGTGCCTCCCCGACCTGCTGCCTCCCCTGCAGAGCCACCACCACGGGCTGCAGAAGGAGGCGTGCTGGGTGTTGAGCAACATCGCCGGCATGCCGGGGCGTGGCGGCATCGAGGCGCTGAAGGCCGCGGGGGCTGTGCCGGTGAGAGGAGGGGACAGGAAGGCAGGCAGCAGACCTGCTGCGACTGTTATGGCACAACAGGTACCCGAGAAACCACTCCTGCCCTTCCCTTTTTGTTTTTTTCCAAGTTCTTCCTGGTGCTATTCCCCGCAGGCCCTGATGTGCCTGCTCAAGGATGCTCCCTTCCACGTCCGCAAGGAGGCCGCATTTGCCCTGGCCAACATCTGCGCCGACGGCGGCGGCGGCACAGGTGCGCTCTCCTGCTGATGCCGCAGCCACTGCTGCTGCTTGTGCTGCCCGCCACTAGCGAGGGTTCGACGTGAGAGGCCAGCGGTGCTGCTCAACGCGGGTCGATTGGGGGCAGGTGTTGCTGCCGGATCCAGCTGGATGCCAGAGCCCCAGCGTCAGCTGCAGCTTCAGCCTGCTTCTCGCTGCCCCTTCTCACCTGCTCCCTCTCCCGCGCCGAGCCGCAGGCAACCCCGAGACCCTGAACTGGCTGTTTGCTGCCGACCGCGAGGCCATGCGCGCCATGCTGTCCCTCATGCGCTCAGCTGACATGGATGCGGCGCGGCTGGGCCTGCAGGCAAGGCGCTGCTTGCCAGTGTGGTGGACGCGTGACCCTGCAGCAAGCTGCCGCAAGGTTGAGCCAGGACAGCACCATCTCAGGACCACCCGGTGTGCTGTTGGCTTGGGTCAACGCCTTGCTGCCTGCTCCCTTGCCTGCCTGCAGTTCACTGAGATGGTGCTAAGGCTGCTGGACAACGGGGAGCAGGCGGTGGAGGAGGCGGACGGCATTGATGCCATGGAGGCGGTGCAGTTTGGCGCCGTGCCGCCCGAGCTGCAACGCATGGCGGCAGCCCTGGTCGACAAGTACTTTGGAGCCGACAATGAGCCCTAGCTGAGCTATGCCGGCCACCTGGCCGTGGACCAACGGGGAAGGACAGCGCAACCGCAGGGGTATCATCAACCATGCCTGTTGTCCGCGATCAAACTTAGCATGGGTAAACCGGGATCATTACGGGCGACTGCCTGCTCTGCAGAGGGGCCTCGGGCCTCCTGCTGACAGGCAAAAGTTTTGGGTAGCCATTTGTTTTACAGCAGCACGCAATCAATCAATTTCTTCTCATCATTCCTGCCTGTTGTGCTGTGATTTCATCATGTAACGCCGCAGCCCTGCCGGCAGTCGCCCAGACGCCAGACCTCCAGCACCAAAGGTCTGCCTCCAGCGCCAAACGGGGGGTGTCTGGTAGCTCAAACGAGACCCACCGATCCCTCCCGCCCATAACACGTTTTGTTTCGCTCGAATGTGTCCACCACACAAGTTCCCCCAACGCCTTTGGCGCGCTCGACCCGCAGCATGCTCCGCAGGCAACGAGTGGTAGGCATCAAAATCTTGTCTGAAGGCCAAATTCAGCTGTTCCCGTACACCGTGTGTGTTACAACCGCTGGCACGCGAGCCTGGCGAGCCTCAGATCGCTCCGTTTGACCGCCTGAGGTTCCACCCACTCCTACAGAATGGCCTGCGCCAGCGTGCTGGCGGCGCCTGCACAGGCCGCTCGGGTAGCTATATCTAGCTCCAGGGGCGCGTCTGCATCCTGCAGGGCAGCCCCCCTTTGCCGCCGCGCTCCAGCCGCCCAGCGGCGGGCGGCTCGCCTGGCGGTGGTTGCACAGGGTGCCAATCCCGCCCCCTGGAAGGCCAATGCCCCTGCTGCGGAAGGCCAGGAGCTCAGGTGAGCATGTGCATGTGCATGCCTGCCTGCCATGCCCCCCTACCTGCCCTACCACAGGCAGCCGCATGTGCAGTACCTTGGCGCAAGCCGCCCTACCACCGCTGTTGGACACGCAGTCGAGCACTCGCCCTGGCCCCCTGGTAAACCCGCGCCCCTCCCCCCTGCAGCCTGGAGCTGCCCACCGAGGACGTGCAGAAGTCGATAGAGCTGGTGGCTCTGCCCCGGGGCCGGGGCAAGGTGATCGTTGTAGGGCTGGTGGAGCCAGACAGCGCCGCCGCAGCGGCGGGGGTGGCGGCGGGCCAGCAGCTGCTGGCTATCTCAGACCCCATCCGCGCGGGGGACATGTGGGAGCTGGACGGCAAGTCGGCGCTCAAGTATGTGCAGCAGGTGGGTGGCGCGGTGGGGAACGGTGGTTGGGCGTGGTGGTGGGCGCAGCAGGTGGCAGCTGCACGCCGCCTGCACTCCCTGCCGTGCTGAGCTGCTGTCCCTGCCGGCAAGGGGAAGCATTCAATGGCTGGGCTGGACCATTCCGCTTCCCCGCCTCGTGCGCAGGCCATCCGGGGCCGCGGCCTGGAGAGCACCACGGTGCGGGTCACCACCCAGCCAGCCCCAGAGTATGAGCGGCTGATTGCCGACATGGAGCAGGGGGAAGGTGCTGCGGCGGACGCCGACCCCGATGGCGCGGCGTTCCGGCTGGAGCGGCAGTACCAGCTGCAGCGGCTGCAGGAGGCGGCTGCCATGCAGGAGCGCGCGCGCCAGGAGGCGCGCCTGGCCAAGCGGCAGGAGGCCATCCAGGCTGGGGTGGGTCGCCTGGGAGTGTGCATGCTGTGCGTTATGTAGTGTCCCTACCCTGTAGTGTCCCTACCCTGGGTAGGGTGTGTGTGCGCGTGTGGTGGCAGGGAGCAGCACCCGCCTGCTGCTGGTTACACTCTTGTTGGCCCGCAGCTGCCTGATGCATACATCCGCTGTTCTCCCCTCCCCTGGTCCCCGCCACCCGCAGCGTGCCAAGCTGGCGCAGGATTATGACAGCCCGCCTGCCATGGGCGGGGCTGGCCTGGGGCTCGCCATGCTGCTGCCGCTCACCATCCTGGGGGCTGCCCTGGGCAGCGGCTACATCAAGTGACAGCCTCGCCTGGGCCGCAGCAGGGCCTGCCGCCGCCAGGCTGCCTGCGTTGCTGCTGGAATGATGACCAACGCAGTGAACCTCAGCCCGACTATACCAGTATGTTACTTGTTTCCTGCTTGTTATTTGATTGATACCTTGCATGAGAGAGATGAAATCATGTTGTTTTGGCATTGTGACTCTGCAAAAAACCTGTTACGGTTGATTTGAGAAGTTGTTGGGGAAAAGCTGTGCACTGGAAGACTTGAAATTGCTAGCGTCTTCGCAGATGGTGGTTTACCCGTGCATCAAGCAGGATGGATGCTAATGACTGTACCACCTGGTCTAGATAAACAGCAGAGAGCGGGGCGCAGCAGGCTGAAGCATCCCTGCAGTGATGCCCAAGTGAGCTAGCTAGCGGAGTTCATCATGCACTCCCAACGGCTTACGGCTGCGAAGCACCCGCAGCGCGGCGCAGGCGCCGACACTCGGGCTTGTGGGCTGGCCAGTGCGCGTGGGCGCAAGCCTCGCTGCAGTACCTCACAGCCCTGCACCTGCAGGCAGGATACAGGCGTGAACAGTGCGTGGAAGAATGAAGCAGGCTGAGCCCCATCCCCACAGCAGCGGGGGCTGCTAGATACCCACAACCACTGCAGCCAGCCAAGGCATGTCTCACCCGCTACAGAGCTTCAGATGGCACGTGTTGCTGCACCCCTCCCAGGTGCACACCCTGGCACCAGGTCCCGCTGCTGCTGCGGGGGCAGCGAGTGCTGCTGTATCTGATGCAACCACTGACACTGCCTCGGCTGTGGTTGTGGGGCCTGCTGCGGGCACGGTGCCTGATGCTGCTGCCACACTGCCGTCTGTGGTTTGTGCAGACAGGGCGCGCAGTGCGGCTGCTGCAACCATCCGTACCACTTCACTCGGGCTGCTGTGCAGCTGCTGCAAGGCAGGGATGCCACCTGCTGCTGCAATGGCTGCGCTGTAGTCACGACCGCCAGCGGCTAGACTGCAAACCGCACCAGCTGCAACCACCTGCAGGTTGTCGCTGCCGCTGTGCAGGCACTGCACCAGGACAGGGATGGTGCCTTGCGCTGCAATGGCTTCCTTGATGTCAGAGCTTCCTAAGCACAGATGACGCAGCGCACCAGCTGCAACCACCTGCATTGCATCGCTACTGCTGGTGCGCAAGTGCTGCACCAGAGCTGGGATGACGCCAGTCGCTGCAATGGCAGCCTGATTCTCTGGGCTGTCAGAAGAAAGGCTGCCAAGCGCGGCGGCTGCCCAAATGTGCACTGCCTCGCTGCTGCTGCTGCGCAAACGCTGCACCACGACAGGTATGGCGCCGGCTGCTGCAATGCCTGCCCGGTTTTCAGCGCTGTCAATAGCAAGGCTGCTAAGCACAGCGAGTGCACTAACATGCAATGACTCGCTGCTGCTGTTGCGCAGGTGCTGCACCAGCAAAGGGATGGCGCCACAGCTCGCAACCGCCGCCTTGTTGTTTGGGCTGTCACCAACCAGATAGTGAATTGCTGAGGCTGCTACCGCGTGCACTGCCTCGCTGCGGTCGCTGCTCAGGATCTTCACCAGCGCCGGGATGCCGCCCGCCGCTACAATTGCTGGCGTGTTTTCAGCGCTGCGGGACAGGTGGGCCAGTGTGGCGGCCGCCTCTGCCACCCTGACTTCATCGCCGCTGCGCAGGCGCCTCACCAACGCTGTGATATAGCTGGCTGTTGCCATCAGGGATAAGCGCAGGGGGCCTGCTACCTTGTAGAGCGACGTCGATCGGTGTCGCGCTCACCGCCGCTGCCCTAGCTCGTGAATCATGCCTTGAGGGCAGGTGCTGACTAAGGGAGAGAAGGGATTGGCGGCCGTGGCCATTAGCGCCCATGCCAGAAGCCAACTTGTTGGCACAGCGTGCCCGCCGTGACGCCTCCGCCCCGCCCCGTCGGTTGCTCTTACAAACATAGCCAAACGTGCAGAAACATACAGGGTCGAGGTCAAAACAGCATGACAGCACTGTCTGTACCCAAATTTCTATAACAGTGCAGAACAGGGAACCACAACCAAGCTGCATCAGCATGTGAGGAAGCTAGCACCAGGTGGCACCAAACACCTAGTCTAGCGCACTGTTGGTCCCAAGGCACCAACCAGTGAACTCACAAATTACTCGTGAGAGCCGGAATGCCTGCTGAGAAGTAAAATGGCTGCGTCGTGCTTACTCGCTCACTGGGCTGCCCAGGCGTGCCAAAGGCATGCCTCTCTTCCCCAGGGACCTGCTGAGCACAGCCCCACCGATAGCATTTGTTTACACAATCATGGGTAGAAATCAAGCGCACACAACGGAAGCATGGCCCCTCTGCACTGGCACTGCCGGCGTGCGCCGGCGGCCGCTACGAGGGGCGCCCACGGGCGAGTGCCATAAATCACCGATATGGAAGGTCAAGAGCAGCAGTGTAGCAACAGCAATGCGCGATGATGACCAGGGTTAGAAGGAGCATCCGCAAACAAAATGAGGTGGGGTGGCTGGGTGAGCTGCTGGGCTGTGGTGGGGGGCTGGCGAGGGCATGGTATGCAGGAGTCGAGGAGGGAGAGACAGCAACACGGTGGTGGTAGGTAGGTGTCGGCATGGTAGTCATCATCAAGGTGGGCCTAAAGGAGGGCAGCTGGCTCGCTGCCGTGTCATGCCACCTGCGTGGCTGCTAGGAGGCCTCGCGGCGCCGCGCCCTCACTTCTTGGGCCCGGCGGGCTTGAAGCTGAGGTTGGTGGCCGCCTGCTGCGACCCCGCAAACAGCGGGTTGGCGCCGCCCTCCTCCTCCTCCTCCGCCCCCTGGCCCGCCAGCGGGTTGGAGAAGGGCTGGCCGGAGCGGGTGCTGGCCTGCCGCGCTACCGCCGAAGAGCTGGAGGGTTGCTCCCCATACTCGCCGCCCATGCTGTCTGCGGTGGCCATCAGGTCCTCCTGGGAGCCGGTGGCAGACTGGTACATGGGGTTGGCCATGGCCCCAGACGCATCCACCATCTGCAGGCGGGGCAGGAGAGGGGCCAGGGTGTGAGAACAAACCCCTAACAACACGGGCGCAGCAGGTGAGGAGGGGCGGGAGCGGGACCAGGGTGGCGAGAGACACAGGCAGCGCAGGGGCTGGGAGCTGCGTGCGAGGGGTGAGCAGTGGGCAACGCTGCCGCACGCATGCAGAGCGGCGATGCACTGGCATGCAGAGCAGCTGCCCGGCAGCTGCTCACGTCGTCGTCGCTGTCCAGTACCGCGCCTGTGTCGGCAAACAGCGGGTTGGCGGCAGGGAACTCCCGCGCCGACTCCTGCAGGGAGGCAGGCAGGGGCGTGCGGGCAAGGCCAGGGTGAGCGTGGCGGTGGATGAAGCGAGGGGCAAGCCCTGCCCTGTCCCGCCTGCCGGTCCAGGCAGAAACTGAGAGGGACGCGCCGGTGCGTGTGGCAGGCGCGGCGCGGGGCGGCGGGCGAAGGCTCCAGCGGCGCAGGCACACGCAGCAACAGGCAGCGGGGTGTTTTGTCTGTGCAGGCCTGCGACTGGCTGGGGAGGCCAGCCTGGGGGCCTCGCAGAGAAGCGGGGTGGCGGGGGCGCACCTGGCGGGCCACTGCGCTCATCATGGAGGCCTGCTGGCTGACGGCGTCCCGCGAGGGCAGCGGCAACGCGCCGCCGCCGTACGCGCCGGGGCTGTCGGGCGCCGACAGCTCGCTGCGGTTGGTGTCGTAGAGCGGGTTGGCGGGGCCCTGGTCGCCCGTGCGCACTTCCTGCAGCCGCGGAAGAGGGGCGGGAGGACGCGTGGGCGCCTGCCTGCTGCGCACAGTCTGCTGCCGCGCCGCCGGGTCGGCCCGTAGGACCCAAGCAACACGCGGCGAGCCGGCGTCTCCCACCGCCACCCCGGCCCCACCTGCGAGTCCAGGATGCCCTCGCCGCGGAACATGACGTTGGAGAACTCGCGGGGCTCGGCGCCGCCGCCGCCAGCCCCGTACTTCTGCCCAGCCGCCACCGGCGAGTCTGCACGCGGGCGGGGGAAGTGGAGGTGGGTGAAGGGTGGGTCCAGGGCGGGCGTGGGGGCGAGGAGGGATGCAGGTGGATGATGTGCCAGGCGGTGGCTCCACGCCAGCGGAGGGTAAGGGGAGCCGAAGGGATGGGGCCGGAAGAGCAGCAGACAGAGCACCGCGGCAGGGGCAGCCGCTCACCGTCGCCGCCAAAGATGGGGTTGGCCGCGCCGCCGCCCTCCTCGTCCATGCCCCCAAACATCGGGTTCTCGGCAGCAGACATCTGCAGAGGCAGCACAGGCGGCAGCGGCAGCGGCAATGTCAAGAGCCAAGCCTGGCACCGGGCTGCTCTTTGGGTGGAGGTGCAACACGTGCTCTTCACACCTGTGGTGCCAGCTGGGATCAGGCGTGGCTGCAGGGAGTGACCGCTGGACTCCCCAACACACACACACACACACACACACCTCGCGGGCGGTCTTGACGCCGCCTGGGTGGGTGGGCGAGTCGTCGCCGCCGGCAAACAGCGGGTTGGCGCCGCCCTCCTCGTCCATGCCCCCAAACATGGGGTTCTCGGCAGCAGACATCTGCAGCAGGTGGGCGGGCAGGCGGGCGGGCTTGGTGAGGCAGGGCAGCAGGGTAGGCAGGCAGCACAATCGAGGTTGGTGCGCAGCAAGTGGGGACGCCGGCCAAGAGGCAGCAGCCTTCACCGGCAGAAGGCACCCTCCCCACCCATGGTCTGCCTGTCGCACACAACTAGAAACGCGCTTCCTCACCTCGCGCTGCGCCTTGGCATCCTCCGCCAGCTTGCGCGACTTGCCGCCCGCGGCGCCGGCCGCAAACAGCGGGTTGCCGCCGCCCTCCGCCTCGTCGGTCCCAAACATAGGGTTCTCTGCGCTGCTGATCGTGCTGCGCCCCTTGCCGGCCTTGGGCTCCCCCGCGCCGCCCCCCTCCTCATCGGCAAAGGCGGGGTTGGAGGAAAACATGTCGCCTGTCTTGGCCTTGGCAGGCTCCGCGGCGCCCTTCTTCTTAGAGTAATAGTAGACGCCGCCGACTGGGAGGAGGTGGGGCAGGGGCGCAGAGCAGGGGACCAGAACAGGTGAGGGAGGGGGAGGCTCGCGAGGACAGGCAGGCAGGCAGGCGGGCAGGCAGGCAGGGGCCGGTGTGTGCACTGAAGCGTGCGTCCCGGCAGCGGCCGGGCAGCCAGCCAGGCCAGCCGCGCACCTGCAGCCACCACCAGCGCCGCGGAGCCGACGGCGATGCCCACGATGGCGCCGGTGCTCAGGCCGCCGCCGCCAGAGTCGGGCGCGGGAGAGGGCGGCGCCGCGTTGTTGTTGGTCACGTAGCTGCGGCAGGCCAGCGTGAGGGCGGCGCGGGAGGGGTCAAAAGTCAGCACCCCCACGAGCAGCAGCAGCGGCAGGGGGGTCGGGCAGCTGGCCGCGGTGCAGAGCCAACAAGCGCAGGCTTCGCCCCACCCCTCGCCACCCTTCCAGCTGCCTCCCAGCCAGCCCGCCAGCTGGCTTGCGATCCGCCCACACACAGGGCGCGCACCTGAGGGAGCCCGGCACCAGCTCCAGTCCGAGCTCCTTGAGCTTTGCGGCCAGCTCGCCGCTGGCCTCGGCGGCCGCCACGTTGGCCTGGATGGTCTGCACCAGAGAGGAAGGGGGCAGCAGAAGCAGTTGTGGCAGGTCAGGAGCGGGCTGGCTGGCTGGCTGGCGACAGCGGTGGCGCTGTCAGGCAGCGGCAGGGTGCCCCAATGCGCTGTGCAGCACAGAGGCCTGCATTCACGGTTCCCGCCAGCAGCGGGGCCCCACCTCAGGCGTGAGACTGGAGATGGTGGTGGTGGTGGCGGCGGTGCCCGCCTGCAGCAGGCGGCGGCGGCTGGCGGAGGCGGCGGTGATGGAGATGTAGGTGGCGCACTGCTGGGACACCTCAGCCATGACCTCATTCAGCTGGCTGTTGAGCGGCTCTGAGTTGAGCTCCTCCACAGCGGCGCCTGCAGCCAGGGGTGGCGAGCACAGGCAGCGGGGGTGGAGAAGGCGGGCGGGTGGAGCGGCTGGCTGGCTGGGGGGACTGGCGCTGGGGGCCAGCGCACAGCGCAGGCATGCCCCCATTCCCGCCCTCTATCACACACACACACACACACCACAGCTTCTCACCCGTGAGCTTCATGGACACTTGCTCGTTGGAGGTGGGCTGCGAGTCTGCCGGCACGCACTGGATGCTGATGGGAGCTGGGGGCTGCACGGCACAACACATGATCAAGTGCAGGACAGGTCGGTGAGAGGGTGGGTAAAGGGCGTACGGCAGGCACGCCCTGCTTCGCTACTGCTGGGAGCACGACTGCGGGCCACAAGCCTTTCGGAGAGCCAAGAGCAAGTTTCTCACCGGGCTGGGGACCACGGGCGGCGGGGACTCCACCACAGGGCTGGGGGGAGGTGGAGATTCAACCACAGGGCTGGGCGGCGGCGGGGACTCGACCACAGGGCTGGGGGGAGGTGGAGATTCAACCACAGGGCTGGGCGGCGGCGGGGACTGCTCCACAGGGCTGGGTGGAGGCGGTGACTGCTCCACAGGGCTGGGGGGTGGCGGTGACTGCTTCACAGGGCTCGGGGGCGGCGGCGAGGGTGAGGGGGACGGCGACGGCTCCGGGCTGGGAGGTGGTGGCGAGGACACCGGCTTGGGGCTGGGGGATGGTGAGGGCTTGGGGCTGGGAGGAGAGGGCACCGGCTTGGGGCTGGGAGAGGGAGAGGGCGTGGGGCTTGGTGGAGAAGGTGAGGGAGAAGGCGAGGGCGAGGGCGAGGGGATGGGAGAGGGCTTGGGGGACGGCGAGGGCTTGGGGGATGGCGAGGGTGTGGGCGCTGGTGGCGAAGGGATGGGGGACGCTGGCGGGGAGGTGGCGGGGTAGTCCGGGTTGATTCCCGGCAGCGGCGGGGAGGGCCCCTGGCAGGGCCCGTAGAACGTCTCGGGCTGCAGCGCTGAGGTGGCGCCAGTGCTGCACATGCCCGGGTTGTTGGCCACGGAGAAGGCGTCCAGGGCCACCATGCCGGACCAGGCCGCGGGTACCGTGCCCGTCAGCTGGTTGCCCTGCAGGTCCATGGCCTGCAGGTTGGCGAGGGCGCCCCAGCTGGCGGGGAGGTCACCAGACACCTTGTTGTTCGACAGGTCCAGGCCCTGAAGCTTGGACAGGGAGCTCCAGGAGTCGGGCAGCACGCCTGCAGCGCCAGAGGGCAGCGGCGACAGCAGCGGCAGGGGTCGGCAGAGAGGATGGACGAGGAAAGCTAAGGCACGCAGCAGCGTGCGCAGTGCGCAGGCCCTGGGTGGCGCATGGATGTGGGCAGCGGCGGCCCACCCTCAAGGTTGTTGTCGCCCAGCGCGATGAACTGGATGGTGGTCAGGGCGCTCATCTGGGGCGGCAGGAAGCCGCTGCAAGGCAGGCAGGAGAGCAGGCACAGGGCGGCAGCAGGGCAGCCAATGAGCATGCGCTCCTGCGCCGCCTCTGGCGCAAGGCAGCCGCAAGGAGACCCCGCATATCAGAAGCATGTGAAAGGTGTGGCCAGTACTTGACCCCCCGCCGCTCACCTCAGCTCGTTTCCGTACAGGTTGAGGTTCTGCAGCGTGTTGAGCGAGCTCCACAGCTCCTCATCCAGGGGGAGCTGGCCCGTGAGGCCCTGCACAACAACACGAGCCACACATTCCGAGCACCCCGTCAGCGGCAGAGAGCCTCGAGATCCGGACGCAGGCCTGCCTTCCCGCCCACTCCTGCCCAGCAATTCATCACCAAGGGCTGTCGGCTGCCGCGGTCCCCACAACACGAGCTGCTTGCCGAATGTGCAACACCCCATTCCACACAAGTCACACCCCACTTTCCCTCCTTCCGTCCCCCACGCTGCCTGCCATACCTTGTCCATGAGGTTTATCTCCTGCACCAGGCCCTGCGCGTTGCATGTGATGCCGTCCCACTGAGAGCACATATCGGTGTTGGGATCCCAGTTGAGTGTGCCGCCAGTGTCAATGGCCGCCGCCAGCAGCTGCAGGTTGGCCTTCTGGGACGCCGGGGTGGGTGCGGCTGCAGGTCGGGGCAGGCGGGCAGCAGCGCAAGGGGAGGCGCGCGTCAGGCGACTGGCCGGCAGGCGGGCAGATCTCCCAGAGATTGGGCAGGAGGTGTGTGAAGGTGGCAGCGGCGGCATGAGCGGGTGCGGCTTGAAGCGTGATGCAAGGGGGGGCGGGGAAGAGGTGGTGGGCGCTCTCCGGGGGTGGAGAGGCCCCCACCTGGCGCCGCTCCAGCTGCCAGCGCAGCCAAGCCGGCATTCCTGGCCCCCAACCGCTGCTGGCCTCCCCCAATGGCCAGCTGCTGCAGAGGCTGTGCGGGCGCTGTGCCTGGCCAGGCTGCCGAGCCGCTACCGCCGGCTTCCTCCCACGGCGCAGCCCGCCTCGCCTGGGCTGCAACCTGCCCCGCCGCCTGCGCTGAGCCCGCTGGCGCCGCCGGCTCGCCCCCCAGCTGGGAGCGGCGGGCCAGGCGCCTCCACAGGCCAAAGGTATGAAGCTGCCTGCCTCCCACTTTCGACTGTCGGCTGCTCCTCGCCCCCACAGCGACCGGCAGTTGTTGTTGTTGTTCTGGCCGCCGCTCTCCCAGGGAACCACCGAGCCCGCTGTCGGCAGCTGGCACGCCTGCCCTTTGGGATAACATGGGGCAGCATGCGCTAGCACATTGAGCAAGCAGCAGGGGGCAGCAACATGAAGGCAGCTCGCTGCAGCGGAGTGCAAGGCGCAGCAGTGGCAGCTTCTCGCTCACCCTGCGCCGAACAACCCGCCACCAGCGCCAGGCAAAGGACGGCTGTGCACGCGCGCCGCATTGCACTATGTGCTGCTTGGACGCCCAATGCCGGGCGGGTGGTTTAGGCCTGCGGGGCGGGCAGGGATCTCTGATTTTCAGGGGCGACATGACATGCGGGCCAAGCTTGCGTCTCCAAGTGCTGCTGTCCAAGCATGGGACGCTGGTAATCCAACCAAGCGACCAAGTCAGCCAGCTGGGCGCAAGGCATCTGCAACCATGACGGGCATGGCAGCCTAGCGCGTGGCGCGCCACTGCTCTGCCTTTGCTGTCGCGCGCAAACCAACCTGCCGGGCTCCAGGCAGAGAAGGCGCCAGTTGATGGGCTGCCCCTGGCGTGCAACGCCCGAGGGAGAGGAGGTGGGTTGGGGTGGCCGGCGCTGCCTGACGCTGTTCTGACAATGCCTTGGATACGGCCGCCAATTCTGCCAGCCTGGAAGCGCCGCAGGTGGAACACGTCTGGGCGGGCAGCAGTACGGAAAAGTACAGGGGGAGTGGGCAATTCGCCCGCTGGGAGCAGAGAGAGATCCACGGGCTCTGAGGCGCATGACAGGCTCACAAAGGAGTCTGAGGCACACGCCAGCACAATGGAGGGCCTGGCCACAACATCCTGTGTGCGGTGCTGGCCCAGCTGGCCCGCCGGGCGGCAGTCGCGGAAACACCCATCTCCCTGACGGCACGTTAATGAGACATCTATCAGGTATGGTTAACAATCGGATTTTCCTTGATATCAGGCACGAGTTACAGACGATCATAAGATGCCAGGTCTTTGATTTTTGCTGCGCATGGCGGCGGCGGAGGGAGGAAAGACCTGAACCCTAGCAGCTGTTCAGGCCGCCGAATGGGCGCCGGCGCGTGCTATAGTGCCATAATCGCAAACACAGCAGCCATACACCAGCGCCCGACACTCACCGACACGGGGCAGGGTTAGACCGCTGATCTAAATGCCCAAGTTTGCAACCAGGGCCGACCTATTTTACTGAGGCGCGCAGGAGGCATCGTTACCGCAGGTTCGTGCGGAGGCAGGGCGGCGTGCGGCGCTGACCGGGGCTGTCGCCCCGTCCTGCCGCTTCCGGCCGACGGCGTGTTCTGCAGCAACTGCCGACGGGACGCGGCTCTGCAGATGTGCCCGCAGCCACCATGCCGTCTCCTCTGATCCTTCTCAACATCCTGGCGCTGCCCCTTCACTGTGAAAGTGCAGGTGGCCACGCTTACCTGTGCCTAGCCGTGACAAGTCCGCCCCAGCAGCAGCCACGCTGCAGCAAGTATTCAGCATGTTGTGTCCAGCCATCAGCATTGACGCGCTGCCCGACGGACTGCTGGTGGAAATTTTTGGCCACCTGAAACTTGCTGAGAGGTAGGGATTCCACTGGGCTGCGTTTGAGTGCCCCAAGGGTGCGGCATGTTGTTCAGCAGCCTTCTGAGTCCTGTGTGGCATGGGTTTGCTGGCCGCTGGCAGACGCCACGGAGACGCTCTGCTCCGCGTCAGTGTGCCGTGTGGTGCTCAAAACCTCCAGGGGGGCGCCGCCACGGTGCCTGCTCTCGATTGATTGATCCACCTGCCTGCCCGCCGTCCACATGCAGGCAGCGCTCGGTGCCGCTGGTCTGCCGTCGCTGGAGGGAGCAGCTGGCTCACACCCCACGCCTGCTACGGCACGTGGATGTGAAGCTCATCGTGTATAACGAGCGGGCTGATTACCGTTCGCAATGTATGCTCACCATTGCCCGCGTGCGGTCGCTCTGTGAATGGCTGGGGCGGCACGCAGCACAGCACATGGAGCGGCTGCGTCTCAAGATCAGGACCGGTCCTCATGTGCCGTTGGCGCTAGAGGGCGAAGTGTCGGAGCTGCTTGGGGCAGCCCTAGCGGTGTGCAGCAGCCTGACCGAGCTGGAGATCAGCATGAACCTCACTTGTATCCTGGGCAGGAGGCTCCAGGCGCTGGCCAGCATGCAAAGGCTGAGCATGAACTGCAGGGGGATAACGCTCACTGCATCGCTGCAATGCCTGACGGTACTGCAGCATCTGCGGCTGATGCCAGAGTTCAAATTTCAGTTGGTGCCTGATGAGCGCCTGCCGGCATCGCTCACATTCCTCGACTTAATTCTATGCAATCACATGCGCGGGATTGGAATCCCAGGACAGGTGAGAAGGGTGCCACTGCAACTGCGGCCTCCTGCATCCTGATATGAGCATGGCACCGGGCACATACTGCTGCCAAGCTTGAACCCATCCCGATTGATACCTTTTCCATTCATTCATTCAGCACACAGACCGGCCGCCTCTTGCTCGAGGGCGGCCCACTTTGGCCTGGGCAGCCCGGGCCGCCCTCCCCCCCGGGCGCATGTTCGGTGTTGGAGGGGTGTGCCCAGCGATAGGGGGCCCCTGAAGGCATGCGCCGAGGCCGGGAAGCGTGGTTCGGCGCTGCTGCACGCTTGGCGATTTGAACAGAACCACGTGCCGCCGAGCTGCGGCCGCAGTTTCCGGCCCACGGTCTACGGTCGCAGCCACGGGACTCGGCGGCACGGCGTTTGGGCCCAAGCTTGCTGCCGCCGCCGCCGTGCCCGGGGGGCAGCGCGGCGGCGGCGGGGGCACGCTGCGACGCCCCCGTGCTGCCGAGTTGCGGCCGTAGTTTCCTGCCAGAAGCCCACGGCCACAGCCACGGGACTCGGCGGCACGGCGTTTCGGTCCACGGCTTGCTGCCGCCGCCGTCGCAGGGGTGCTGCCTGCGGCGGCGG